TCAGTAACGTATAGAGACCTCGGTTTGTAACTATACTCCAGTTACTATTTGAAAATTATAACGCGCTAAATTAAGTTACTAAAAAAGTAATCAAATTACAGTAACGCGTTACTAAGGAATGCGTTACTGCCCAACACTGCTGATGTCACAGACTATTTTACCGATGTTCTTGCTACGTTTCTGGACCTTGATTGTGGTAGGACCCATGCTGTCTATGGAGGGTCAGAGAGCTCTCAGATTTCACAAAAAATATCTTAATTTGTGTCCTGAACATGAATGAAGGTCTTACGGGTTTGGAACAACATGAGGGTGAGTAATTAATGACAGAGTTTTCATTTTAGGGTGAACTATCTCTTAAATGCCTAATGCCTAGATATATAATTTATTTTGTTATTTCTTCAAAGCACCAAATGAGCACCCCGAGACCCAGCATGTCATTGCATTGACTCTGTGTGCAAAACCGATCCTTAATGCCCTGATTTCCAATCTCTCCCTAGAGAACATTGCATGAGGCGTCTCTAATGTCTGAATAGAGAATACAGGCAATGATGGTAAAGTGGCATGACGCTGAGTTTCCTCAGTGGCTGTCACACATCTGTGCTCGTTAATGTTCACTATGCTCTCCGCCTCTCCCAGGACAGGAATGGTTACATGGACGAGAATGAGCTTGACGCCCTCCTCAAAGACCTTTGTGAGAAAAACAAGAAGGTACGCATCTATATAAAAAAAAATAAAAAAAAATTAAAAAAAACTGATCGGAGGTTTCATGCTTTCATTTTCTGAGATCTGTTGATGCATTCTGACTCTCAGTTGAAGCTCAAGATGAGCACAAACTATTTTCCTGAAGCAGACTCATAAATGATAATACTAGTGAGAAATCTAATCTCCTGCTGCAGCATGTGGATTGCATGCAAATTCTCAGCATTAGAGGACAGAAAAAAGGAAGAAACTACTGTCATACACAACTACTAAAAAAGCATTTGTCTGGGATCAGTGCAAGTTCAGCTAGTAATCTGTAGATTACCACAGATAACAGCTTCAGTCCCTCAGTTTGTAAAAACAAACAAAATTAGCACATATAGAAATGCACTATTTCTACTCTTAAATATACTACTTACTGTGGAAGTCTGCAGGGAAAAGCATTCCACAAGAATGAACGATTCCATGAAGTGTAGTTGTCTTTCTTGTGCCAACAAATATACTATAAATACAGGAAGTTTTGGCAGGGCCCATTTTTAAAATAACCACTAGGCTTCAGTTATGTTACAGCTGTGAGTCATGATTAGTGACTTGCTAGCTGCTGATGGGGGAGGGGCCTTTTCTTTCAGAGAACATCTGATTGGACAAAAATCTATGTAGTGCAGGATGAGTCATAAAATATTGTTAGTCCATTTTCCTGGCTGAGAAAAATTACATTTTAAAGTTGAAAATTGTGAACTAGCATATAGATGCCCTCATAACTAAAAATAACGTTTTAGCAATCAAACATTGCAATTTTTATCTATTTTTATAAAATGAGATATTTTAAAACATAATTTATTCCTGTGATAGCAAAGCTAAAATTTCAGAAGCCATTACTCTAGTCTTCAGTGTCACATGATCCTTCCACATCCACTGATTTGGTGCTCAAGAAACATTTCTTCTTATTATCGATGTTGAAAGCTACTTTATTTTTTTGTGGAAACCATAATAAATTTTTTTTATTTGATTAACAAACTTCAAAGAACAGTATTTATGTGAAACAGTAAACACATTTATAATGTTACAAAAGATTTCTGTCACTTTTAATCAATTTAATGCATAATTTGTGAATAAAAGTATTAATTTCCCAGAAAAAAATCTTTCTTACTCCATGCTTTTGAACAGCAACTGTTCAGGCCATTCGGACCAAGGGTTTGTTCACACTTCATAAATGTAATAAAGTAAAAAAGTAATTTTAATTAGATTATACAGTGTATAATTCAATATATTTATATGGTTTGTTTTGGGTTTTAAAAATATTGCTGCATGTCTGAAAAAAGCCTTTGAGACTCATGAAAACTGAACATTTCTAATGCCACATTGACAGATAGGCAGAAAAACACTCAAGATGCTCTTCTGATCTCTTCACAGGTTCTAGAAATCAGCAAAATCCCGATGTACAAGAGCGCCATCATGGCTCTGTCTGATGGCGGCAAGCTCTACAGAACAGAGTTAGCGCTGGTGTTGTGCGCAGAGGAGATGTGAACGCCTCCATCTGTACTCACACCATCCCAGAACCCCATCCTCAGCTCACCTGTGATGCGTAAAGTAGCTAGAACCCTCTTACGTTTTTTCATTTCAAACATGGATTTCACATAGACAGGCAACCCAGTGGCACATACTTTTCAATTTGTTGTTTCTATACTGTTTCTAAGTGTACAGATTTTTTAAACAATGGCACACATACAATACTTACAACCTACACTGCATACATAAACACAACATTTCCCTTAACAAAAGAAGAGACCCAACATGCTAACAAATCCCCATCCTGATTCAATATCCAAAATATCCACCAATTCAGTAAGTATAATAAATATTGATTTATCTTACAATATCTTAGACAAAAGCAATAATGTCCTCAAGGAATGCTGATGAAACACGGCCTGTCGGTGGGATCTGTGTAAAACTCCAAAAGGCTGCATTTACTTTTGCGATGCATGTTTGTAACAAGACGGCAGGCCCTGCTAGTGGGGTATGTTTGACTGCAAGCACATGCCGAATGTAATGCATCGCCCCAGTCCTGTCTCTAATGTTAGATTTTGCACTGTAAAGAATGACATGCTACTCTATGCTAAACACCACAGACACTGTGTAAGAAAACATTAAACTTATTGAATGACTATACCTGCATCCAGTTGTGTGTCATAGATCCTTTAGTCTCTAAAAATCAGCCTAATTTTAATTCCAAACATGTATGACTTTTTTCTTCTGTGAAAGTCAATGGGATCCAATGTTGATTTGTTTTGGACTCCATTGATTTTCATTGTATGGATAAAAACAGTTGAAGCATTCTTCTAAATACCTTCTTTTGTGTTCTGCAGAAGAAAGTCAGTCGGGTTTGGAACAATACGAGTAAATGATGAAGATCTGAAGAAGTTGTGTGATTCGGTGCAACAATCACAAAATGAAAATGTTAGTTTGCTCAGTAATTTAAATTATCCTCAAAATAAATGCCTGGTTTTGAAAATGTACTGTATATGAACAAAGCTGGGGTTGGAGAGTTCTAGCAAAAAACACAAAGCAACTCTCAGTAGAGTTCTCTTTCCCATTTAAAGTTTCAACAGATCATGATCTTATCTTATAATTGAACAGTTGACCTTCCCAAAGCAGACACCCTAAGACATAAAACTTGCGTCATTGCGAACAAACAGAAACACTGTGTTTAAACCTGTTTGTTTAGTTGGAACGTTGAGAGCTTGATGAAACTAAATCAACTAGGATAGTTGCATATTGAAAATGCAGTTGATTTTCATATTTTCCCATATCTATATCAAGAATCAAGATATTATGGAATTTTCGATTAGCCACCTTTGACCGGAACACCAAGGATGAATGGCCTCTTCCCCTCAAGTGCTGTAGCTGGAAAATTGTTTTGAAACCAGAATTTCGATGCCAATTTATTAGCTATTTTAGCACCCTGCCAGTAATATCCAGTGATTTAGGCTTGACCTGAAAATGCCACTGTTAAGGCTAACTGATATTTAGCACTAATGACTATAAGGACATATTGAGGCCTAAAACAGTCAAGACTCAAACTTTGTCCAGAAAATATATTAAATTACATATTAAGAATTTAAATATGTCTATTAGTACGTAATATATTAAATGATTACACTACCGTTCAAAAGTAAATTTTTTTAAAGAAATTAATTGAATGACTACAGATTAGATATTTTAAATAGTAATTTCACATTACTGTATTACTTTATTTTCAAAACATAAATAAAAAAATACCGACCTCAAACTTTTAAACAGTAGTGTGTATACATAAAATCGAATGTCACACATTTAACAAATGGTAAAATTTAGATGTGATTATCTGCATTATACAAGTATTATAATTCATTACTATCAACAAGAGCAAGTCAACAAGAAAACATACCATTTTTCATAAGGATACCACACCACATCTTTTTTGTGTTCTATACTCTCAGATGCTGTCAAGAACCCCAGTCAATAAAGACAGGCAGTAATATAAACTAAACTGGAAGCCACTAGGATGAAAGAGCAGAAAACAATGAATATAAAAACTCCTCAGTGGTTATTTGAGTGGAGCCTGATTTAAAAACACTTTCAAAGATTAAAAAAAAACAAAAAAAAACACAAATACAAATACAAAGCAATTAAAGCCTGTATTTTCCTTTTTTTTTTTTTTTTCCTCAAACTGGTAATTAAACAAGAATAAAGCCAGAATTAAGGCAGAATTTATTCTTCAGAATATATATTTTTGACAAAATTAATTTGAAAATTAATTTAAAATAAATTAGCATGAAACGAGTTAATGTATACCAAACTATCATATCTACTAAAAAGGTAACCTACATGTTTACAGCATACATAATGTAATTGCCATCGTTACAATAGATAGTTAAGGCAGAAATGGCAGACTGGTCACAATCTAGAATTCAGCACAGCTCAAAAACTTCACACAACAATTCAATGTGATAAAAATGTCACTGGGTGGATATTTTTATGTGCCAAGACAATTTAAGTCTCAATTTACACAATCTAAACATCATATTTCAAAATAGTTGATCCTCTGTACTACAATGGGAGATTGAGATCAGGACTGTCATTAGTGCTGAGTTACTGCAGTTTCAGAGGTTTACGATCCTTTTGTGTTTCTGATTTTTGCTTCCATTATGGCCCATTGCTCCTGTGTGACCTAGCAAATAAAATCAAGGTAAACATATAATAAATAAAGTAATAAAAACTCCCCATTGTAAATTTCTGATTGACTGACTTTGAAGGAAAAAAAAAAAATCACCTCTTTCATGCCATTAAACTCGCCAGCAAGGGAAACGTATTCACCGCCATCCATTCGAATGATCTGTGAGGACAGAGGAGATATATAAGATGGAAATTTGTCTTTCACTGTGAAAAACATATTAGCTGCCCTGTCAGGGCTCCTTAACTTTATAAGTATAGGGCCATTACAGTAATGCGCCGGACCATATAATTCCATATTGATCTCTGCAGCACAATTTTTTTCTCTAATTCTTCACAAAATTCCCTCAGATATTCAGAGAGGGAAAAGGGGTGGAGTGTGTGCCCTTGGCTCCGTTTCCATTTGGCTGTAAATGGAGAGGCCCTGTGGGGATGATGCTAGGTGAGCTCTCACCCGGAGAGATGAAGCACTTTTCACGCAAGGTCACCGAACTCACCGCGCCTGATACCCAGCTGGCATAATCGCTGCAGAGGTAGGCGGCAAGGTTGGCGATCTCTCCAGGAGTTCCCAGACGACCCACGGCTATATTCTCTAACATCACCTGCTCAAACGTACCAATGGGATCCAGTCTGCTAAAGGCACCCTTCAGAAAAATACCAGAGTCACTGTAAAGCACTGTTTTTCAAATGGATTACATAACATTTTTAAAACGTAAAGCTTTAAAGATTGAAAATAATCTAACTGGACAGAGAGTCAGAGAGTTAAACTTAAAAACCGAATAATTCAGACTGGTTTTCATTGAAATGATCTGACAAGAAGTATGATTCATTCACAAACTGGACATCACTACTTCTCCATAAACACACCTAGGTTTGGATGATGATGTTTTCAGAGAAGAACAACTTAAAAACATGAACATTACCTTGGTTTTGATTGGTCCTGGTTGAATAATGTTGAATCTCATGCCGTATCTGCCCCACTCTGCTGCCAGAGACCTATGGGTAGACTGAATCAGTCAGACCTTTTACACATGCTCTGATTTATTTAAACTTTGTCCCACTTTTCGGGGACATCTGCTCGTCCTATCTATCAGACATGGCCACCACAGTTTCTAGTGCCATTATTCTCCTGAGACAGACTTTTTAGCATTAGGTTTATCACACAGGGAAAGCATTAAGAAACATGGTGACTCACAGTCAAGCCAATGAAAATGCAATCAAAGGGCTGCTAAGGCTCTGGTGATCTTATGTACAGAATGTATAGAGCATACTTCAAATCAGAGTGCAATTATGTTGCCACTTTCCTCTTCAGCAAAATTGTTTTTTTGTAAGGTCCAAATCTGGTATATAAGTGCTGTAGGGTCATTGAAAATTCTAAGTAAAAATAAATTGTATTGATTAAAAAAAATTAATTAAAATAATCAATTTTAATATTTGTAAGATTTTGAAAAAAAAAAAACTTTTATTACACTTCCACATTCAGAAAGCAGAAGCGACAAGTAGTAGTAAAACAACTTCCCCTTTAGTTTGTATTAATGGTGGTTCACTAACATTCAAACATTTCAACTAAACAAAATTTTAAAAATTAAATTTTTTAAATATTTTATTCATTATATTTATTATATTCATATATTAAAACACTATGACCTAAAATAATAATAATAATATATACTGTATATAAACACACACTTTTTTGGGGAAAAAAAACACTATGACCTAAAATAATAATAATACAATATTTACAATATATATAGGCAAGGCAACTGATTCAGATAAACAACTTTTTGTAATCAAGTTAGTGATTCTCAGTTAATCACTCATGAATATATAAACATCAATAATACAACATCACCAATTTTAATATAAGTAATATACATAACTACTAAATAATAAAAATATAAAATACTAAAAGCAGTGTGTCTAATAATATATAAATAAATGTATTAATATAAATATATAAATCCTGTCATTGAGCTAAACATTTCAGCAGAGATTATATAATTATTAATGAGCTACTGATCTGAATCATCAGTTAGATAGTGTGCTGTTCACCTCTCCCTGTTGTATTTTCCACATATTTAACACTCCTTGAGGGGAGAGGATCAAGATCCCCATCTTACAATTAAAATGTAAATGAAACATAGCACACGGCACCTTCATTATGATAATATATGCAGCCCTCCAAGAATATATTAGAAAGGCATTTGACAGGAGGACCTGATTCACAAAGGAGACACCAGCCTACCAGGTGAATTGGACCTAAAAATGTGTCTGTAGTGTAACAGAGTACATACGTGCAAAGCTTCTCCACTCCAGCTTTAGCCGCAGCACTTGGCACAACAAATCCTGAGCCACTCTCAGCATAGATTGTGGTGATGGCCAGAAATGCAGCACCTTTATAAATTCAACAAGATTATCAGTTTCTGGTGCTTCAAATGAGATGAAACTAAACTTCAGATCATCGGAGACACAATGGGATGATGATAAAACAGTATAAGCTGTTATGTTGCATCAAGAAGAAAAATAATAAATAAAATCTTTGTTTTCAATTACCAATGAAATGCAAACACAAATACAGTGTCGTGAAGATCAGACTTGTTATCAATAGTATAATATCTTTAGACTATGAGTTAATGGAGTAATTGAACAGTCTGTAATCACAATGTTCAAGGAAGCAGAAAGAGGTCAAAATAATCAGGTGAGAGGCTGGGTGTCTGAATTTGAGCAGCTAATTCTCTCTCTCTCTCTCTCTCTCTCACACACACACACACACACACACACACTAATGTGGCTGAGGCAATGAACCAGAATCATCTTATCTTGCTTGTTGTCATCATACCCACACACATACTTGGCTCTTATCATTGCAAAGTAAATGTACATAAAGACAAATGATTTCTTAATTTACAGAGAAGTAATTGCACTGGCTTACTGGTTACAGCCAGAAGCTGTTATCTTAACAGAAAACAAAGAGAGCAGAAAACAGCATGAATGCACATAAACTAGCCTATTATAAAAACAGGCTTGATTACCAAAACAAAATCCCACATTTTGACAACTTTTTATGCCACATTTCCAAAAGCATGGCTCATGGGATGTGCAAGAAGCCACAGGCAACCTCATTACAGCATAAACATCAAGACAACAGGCAGTGAAAGAAATACATGGATCATCTGGACAACCATACATCTCTTGTGCACTCCAAGGCTGCATTTATGTGATTAAAATTACAGTAAAAACAATCCTATTGTGAAATATTATTACAATTTAAGACAACGGTTTCCCATTCTAATATATCTTAAAATGTATTTTTTTTTATTCCTGTGATGACAAAGCTGAATTTTCAGCACCCATTACTCTTCAGAAATAATTCTAATATGATGATTTGCTGATACTTTTATGCATATCGTGATTCATTATTTCAGGATTATTTGGCGAATGGAAAGCTCAAAAGAGCATTAATTTAAAAGAAATTTATCTCTATTGACAGCATCTGTGACCAGCTACCACAGAAAATAATTTTGATGTGTCCCTCAAAAACAAAAATGCACTTACATAAATTCTTCAGAACAAAAAATAAAATGATCTAAACCGTCCTTTTAGCAATAGGACTACATTTCTGGATGGATGGACTTTTGGTTATACATTTCCGATTTAATATCATGGTTTACCATGTTTACATGTAAAATTAGGTAATTTTGTGGCTGTACTTTTGGAATGATGTACATTGTAAACAATTTTTTGCAAAGCAATGTCAAGCTGCTTAGAATTCTGATACAAGGGCATGTATTTTCAGACTTTTTTATTTTTCATTTTTACAAATCGAGGAACAACACAAAATTATTTAATTTACTTTCTATTAAATTCAAAACATTCTGTTAACTATTAAAGAATCACTAAAACAAATCCCGCAGATTATCAGTAATTTGGGTACTCTTTTTTTGCACTTACTGCCCTCTAGTGGTCATGTACTCAAAATCAACTACTTCCATTAATGATTAATCCAATCGAACAGAAACTTTTATCCAAAGAGCCTTACATTGAAATTCAGGTACACATTTTTTTTTTTTTTATCAGTGCATTCCCTTGGCATTGCTAGCACTATGCTCTACTGTTTGTAATGGTAAGCTTTCTATCATAATTAAAAGTTGAATAATTACCTTTGCTCCATTTCTATAAAAATAATAATCACCTTTCTCAGCTTTGATGAGGCGTTTCCCGATGTCTAGCGTGACATATGCGGCGCCGTTCAGCACTATGTCAGTGATGGTTCTCCAGGCATTGGGGGAAAGCTTCTCTGAAGGAGAGATGAAGTTTCCAGCAGCATTGTTTATCACCACCTGTGGGTTGACAAAGCATATCAGAAGCAGTTTTGTGTATTTGGCTGAATCTATTGCATCACTGCTGTTAAGATGGAGACCTAAACCTACATCAGGCAGGCCGACATCATTTACAAGCTGGTTAACAGCAGCCTCCACTGAAGCAGGGTCCCTAACATTACACTGGACGGCATGGACCTGAAACATGAACACATTCATCAAACTCTAGGAGGATGAAAACAAGTTCTTCACCATAATCTGGAATCCACATGAACTACTCTAAGGATATGACAATGTTTGCATAGACTTTCATAGGTGGTGTAATAAAAGCAGAGGTACCTTGTTTCCTGTCTGTTGTGAGATTTCATCAGCGGTTTTCTTCAAAACTTCAAGATTTCTGGAAGTGATGTGACGACAGAAGACGTAAGAAAAATAATCGCTCGAATTCAAAGTTATGTAAGTTTTGGCTTTGCTTGTAGGGTGCATTCGCAATTATTCAAGAACTAAAAGACCTACAAATAAAGTGAAGGTGTGTCCAAAGTAAGAAGTCTCTTTATGCTCACCAGGGTACATTTACTTGATCAGAATTACAGTAAAAACAATAACAGTATAACAATTTAAAATAACCCTTTTCTATTTGAACATATTTTAAAATGTAATTTATTCTTGTGGCGGCAAAGCTGAATTCCAGTCTTCAGTGTCACATGATCCTTCAGAAATCATTCTTATATGCTGATTTTGTGCTCAAGAAACATTTCCTATTACCAATATTAGGAACAATTGTGCTGCTTAATTCTTTTTTGAAATTTTTAACAAGAAGAATAACTAACCTGCTGGCTATCACGCACTCTGCTCCCAGTGAAGACAGAGTGGTGGTCATGGCTTTTCCAAGTCCTGTTCCTCCTCCAGTGATGAAGGCCACTTTGTGTTTGTAAGTTCCTGGGAGAAGCATAACACCTTCAGAAGGTGGGAAGAATCTCGCTTGAGGAGGATTGCTCTGGTATAAAGTGTTTGTCCCATTTCCAAACAGCTGTTAAAGGACGCAAAGAGGGTCACTTTATTTTAATACATTAATTCAGTCAGGAATAAATAGTAGCCTAGCTATTATAAATAGAAACTGGGTGAAAGGTCATAATGACAATATCAAGTTCTTTGCTGAAGCTAGAGAATTATACATTCTAATGCATGCAATAGGTCTCAAATGAAAAATCAAGTTTGAAAGGCACGGTTTTCCTATTCAGTGCACATTATAACAATTAAAAGAGATAATTTTACTCAAATATAACACACGTTGCAAGCTATTTAAAATTTAATTCTCTAAAATGCACACTTAAACGCACAGTCTTATATTTTATATATGGTTTATTTATCTAAAGTTCAGCATTTTATGAGATTTCGAAACTAAATTGTAAATGCATGCACAAAATCTTAATTGCACATGGCCAAAATACAATTCTTACTCGTGCTGGTATGAAGCACTTGTTTGGAGAAAGTCTGTTTAACACGGTCAGTACTCTGAGCAGCGCCATTCCGTCAAAATTTATCTTTTTTTTTAGAGAGAAAGGGTGTTTTAACAATGTCACAACATGCAAATAAACTAGTGAAGTCGGACTCAGTAACGCCTCTGACGCTGATTAAATGACTCTAGAACTAAAGTCCGAAAATCCCGAATGATATCTTCCGGTTTCCGGTTTGCTGGTTGATCTGGGATCAGACACGTGAGACATTTCATCCAATAGCGTGCCGCTATTGAGCTGACGATCAGATCTCAGATCAACCAATGGAGACGCACACCTCTAGTTCACTCCTGAGACAGAATAACAAACGAAGCGGCTCTTTTATGTACATGTCTGTATATTATATCGTTCGTATGATTTGACATGTTTGTTAGTAACGTTCGTTTTAACCTGGGCAAAATGTAGAATGTCATTTTGAGTAAGGTGGGAAGAAATAACTATTGCTAACCAGTCGGTTAGTTGACAGCGCGCTGGGCTCAAGGAATCAGGTAAACAACCGTTTATTTTTACATCAGTGCTGTAAACAAACAATGTATACGCATATGTACGTGACATAATACTTTATAACTGGCAACTTATATCGAGAGAAAATAGCAATAATGTAAATATTTGGAGTTTTGTGTTTTCTAGCGAGTATTGCTAACAGATATGATGCAGCATTTTGTCGCTTGACACTGTGTGTGCAGAAGACTCTGTATACTGATTCTGAAGATTATACTAAATTTATGACAAAACTTTGCATGCGTCTACTCTAGTTGCAGGTAATTATTAGTAATAATCTTAAGAAAAAGCTGAATGTTGTAATAATAAACTGCAGAACCATCTTCTTTCTATCTGTAATAGGTATAAATTTGTCTTTGAGCACAGACATCTCTGATCCAGTGAGATGGGGAACCAGCTGGCTGGAATTGCTCCATCACAGATTCTTTCAGTGGATAGTTACTTCTCTGACATCCATGATTATGAATATGACAAAAGTCTTGGCAGTACGCGGTTTTTCAAAGTGGCCAGGGCGAAACATAGAGAAGGATTGGTTGTGGTTAAGGTTTTTGCGATCCAGGACCCCTCTCTGCCCCTGACCAGCTACAAACAAGAGCTGGAGGAGCTGAAAATCAGACTGCACTCCTGTCAGAACTGTCTGCCTTTTCAAAAAGCCACTCTTACTGAGAAAGCAGCCATACTATTTCGGCAGTATGTTCGGGATAACTTGTATGACCGTATCAGCACGCGACCGTTCCTCAACAATGTGGAGAAGAAGTGGATCGCCTTCCAGCTCCTCAATGCTGTGGACCAGGCCCATAAATCTGGTGTGCGTCATGGTGATATTAAAACAGAGAATGTTATGGTGACAAGCTGGAACTGGGTGCTTCTCACAGACTTTGCTAGTTTTAAACCTACATACTTACCTGAAGACAACCCTGCAGATTTCAACTACTTCTTCGACACATCCAGGAGGAGAACGTGCTATATTGCACCGGAGAGATTTGTGGATGGCAGCATGTTTGCCACAGAAAGTGACCAGACAACTCCGCTTGTGGATCTCTCCAGCAATAGCCAGAGGACCAGGGGAGAACTCAAGCAGCCCATGGACATCTTCTCAACTGGTATCCATCACTATTATATTTGTTCTGTGTGTTGCATTATAATATGACATATTTTACAAACATCTTTATCTTTTATTTTCTTTTGATAGGTTGTGTGATTGCAGAGTTGTTTACAGAGGGTGTCCCACTCTTTGACCTCTCACAATTGCTGGCTTACCGTAAAGGACATTTCCAAACCGAACAAGTGCTGATGAAAATTGAAGATCGCAGTATTAGGGAACTGGTAGCATTTCTATTCATATGGGATTTTAGATACTTTGTATTATTTCACTTTAGTTTATGTTGTTTACACATGTTTACACTACCATTCAAAAGTTTAAGTTTGGTCAGTTGTTGTTGTTTTTTTTGTTTTTGAAAATGTCTCTTTTTCTTATGCTCACTGAGACTGCTTTTTTGATAAGACATACAATAAAAGCAGTAATATTGTGAAATGATATTTTGCTATTTTAACATTTTAAAATAACATTTATTCTTGTGATGGCAAAGATCAGTTTTCAGCAGCCATTACTCTGGTCTTCTGTGTCACATGATCTTTCAGAAATTATTCTAATATGCAGATTTGGTGCCCAAGAAACACCAAATCTATTATTATTATTATTATTATTATTATTAATGTTGAAAGCAGTTGTGCAGCTTAATTTTTGTGGAAATCGTGATACCTACTTTTTTCGGGATCCTTTGATGAATACAAAGTTCAAAAGAGCAGAGATAGAATTTTTTTGTAATATTTTTAATGTCTTTCCTGTCACTTTTGATCAATGTAATGAATACTTGCTGAATAAAAGTATTAATTTCTTTAAAAAAAAATCTTACTGACCCCAGTCTTTTGAATGGTGGTCAAAGTCAACATTTCAAAGTCAAAGTTTATTTATAACCATTTAATAAATAATATGATACTAGTTAGTTAGATACTAGGTAGTACTCTGTATAATTTCATCCACTCTATGCAGGTGGCACAAATGGTGCAGCGAGAACCGGAAAAGCGTCTGACAGCCGAAGAATATCTAAAGCAGCAGCGAGGCAAAGCTTTCCCAGAAATCTTTTATACCTTCCTTCAGCCCTACATGGCTCAGTTTGCCAAGGAGACCTTCCAATCTGCTGACGAAAGGGTGTTGGTCATTCGTAAGAACCTGGAGAACATCCTCAATAACTTGTGCAGTGGCGGGCAAACAGGGAAGACTGAAAAACAGGAGAAGGCATCTCAGGAGCTTAGTTTATCCAAGGAGCAAGGGCTGGTGGTGCTGGTGTCAGTGATCACATCCTGTCTGCAGACACTGCATTTCTGCGACTCCAAGCTGGCAGCACTGGAGCTGATTCTTCATCTGGCAGGCCGGCTGAAGGTGGAGATTGTGCTGGACAGGATTACACCTTACTTACTGCACTTCTGCAATGACACAATGCCGCGCGTCAGGGCTGAGGCTGTCCGCACACTGACTAAAGTGCTGGCGCTGGTCAAGGAGGTTCCTCGCAATGATGTCAATATCTACCCAGAATACATTTTACCTGGGATTGCCCACTTGGCCCAAGATGAAGCCACAATCGTCAGACTTGCTTATGCAGGTAGTTTTAGTGCTAAAATAAATGCTGGAGTAAATTATTCCCTAAATTGTCATGTCTAAATTGCTCTTTTTAAATGTGTAAATACTAGTTTTCACAATCCAATCAGTCTCTGATTTTAAATAAAACAAATCATTTGAGAAAATAAATCATTTAAATAGGAAATACTTTGATATTTCTTAGATCACACAAGTAAAATGGATTGTGAAAGCCATTTCATATTGACTTCAATATATATTTATATAATTTAATGCAATTAAATTTGTTTGGGGTCAGTAAGATTTTTAAAAATAAGCAATTCATAGTTTTATACTTTTCTGCTAAAAAAGTGCAAAAGTGATAGCAGTGACATTTAAAATATGAAACATTTTTATTTCAAATAATTGCAAATTAATTATATTAAAATATAAAGCAGTTGTTTTTAATTTTAATAATTTTTCACAATGTTACTATTTTTACAATATTTTCAGTCAAATAAACACAGCCTGGGTGAGCAAAAAAAATAAATAAAACAACATTAAAAAAATCTTACCGACCCCAAATATTTGAATATATTATATTATATTATATAGAGAACATAGCACACTTGGCAGAGACAGCGCTTCGTTTTCTGGAGCTGGTGCAGGAGAATAATTTGAGCTCTGAACAAGACCTCAATGGAGAGGACACAGAAGAAACTCTTCACCCCAATGAAAACTATGATTCAGGTAAATAGCTGCTCTACCATAAAATCTCACTTTTATGGTAGTCTTAAAAAGGTTAATAGATATTGTCCGTATATAACTTTTTGCACTACAGTAATAGCCAGCTTGCATGGCTGTCATTAAAATGCTGTGGATATGATCCATCCCTTGTCCAAAGAGCTGCAGGCCTTGCATGAGATGGTTCAGCAGAAGGTGGTGACTTTACTGAGCGACCCCGAGAATATTGTCAAACAGACGCTGATGGAGAATGGCATCACACGCCTCTGCGTGTTCTTCGGCAGGCAGAAAGCCAATGATGTCCTTCTCTCCCACATGATCACCTTCCTCAACGACAAGAATGACTGGCACCTCCGTGGAGCTTTCTTTGACAGCATAGTAGGTAGGTTGCCGTCACCGTGACACTTCATATAATATCAGAGTGTCACTCACAACATGTAACCAAATCTCCTCCTCCCTGCAGGTGTAGCAGCATATGTGGGCTGGCAGAGTTCCTCCATCCTGAAGCCTCTTCTGCAGCAAGGCCTGAGTGACGCTGAGGAGTTTGTCATTTATAAAGCTCTCAATGCCCTCACTTGCATGTGTCAGCTGGGGCTACTGCAGAAACCTCACATCTACGAGTTTGTCAGTGATATTGGTGAGAGAAATCCTGCGCTCTTGTACGCCATTGTATAATGTGCTTCATAATTATTGTGTATAATTGTTACTGTTCCACAGCTCCTTTCTTATGTCACCCCAATCTGTGGATCCGCTATGGAGCTGTGGGTTTCATCACTGTTGTCGCTCAGCACCTCAACATCGCTGACGTCTACTGCAAACTCATGCCTCATCTCAACCCTTTCATCACACAGCCTATTATACAGGTGATTAGTCACAACTACTCTGAATAAAATTCTCCTTTTGTGTTTCACAGAAGAAATTAAGTTATAAAGGTTTGGAACAACATAAATGATGGCAGAATTTTCACTTCAGTTTTCAACTCTTTTTCTGCCTTTGGACAGATTGATAAGAAGATTGTGTTGCTCAGTGTGCTGAAAGAACCCGTAAGTCGCTCCATCTTTGATTATGCGCTGCGTTCCAAAGACATCGGAAGCCTCTTCAGACACCTGTTACTCCGCCAAAAAAAGCGCAACGGCTCCATCCCAGAATGCCCCATTCCTGAGGATCCCGCAATTGCCCAGCTGCTTAAGAAACTTCTTTCACAGGTCAGGAAAAAAAAATTGTTACATTTTATTTATTTATTTTTTAATTACTATTGAT